CTTAACAGGAACAAGATCCTGTGCTGGACGGACTGGACGTGATAGTAGATGGTCTTGGTGGTGAAGACGCCGCTACACAGCTTGCACACATAGTGGCGATGTCCCTTCTCATTCGGGAGATACTCCGCAACGTGTTCCAGACCTGTTTCACATCAATGCAAATAGACAACATCGGTAAATGAATATTGTTTGGAGGGTGAAAAGTATCACCTTCGTATTATTTATAATAAACAAATCATCATTAGACAACATTGGAACTGTCCTCCTCCGTCCTTCAGATAGGACAAGCGCCTCGTTACCCCCCATGGTCTGCTGAACTGTTATCAGAATGGAAGGATGTGTGTGGATGAGCTCCGTGCAGAGCGTAGGACACCAGACCTATGGGCCCGTCTCTCACCAGACCTATGGGCCCGTCTCTCACCAGACCTATGGGCCCGTCTCTCACCAGACCTATGGGCCCGTCTCTCACCAGACCTATGGCCCGTCTCTCACCAGACCTATGGCCCGTCTCTCACCAGACCTATGGGCCCATCTCTCTAGTTTATCTGCCCAATACAGCATGAGGAGACACCAACGGATTCAGTCTGGCAAAGCCCACCCATGGAGTCTCTGCGAGAAGCCTAACCAGGTTGGTGTAGCACAGCCGCCTGGACCATTCCAGAACTACGAGGATCAGGAGAATGCCCCCAACTCAAGTCTGTGGAACAGAAGAAACTGGCATAGATCAGAGTGCACTGGACGCATGGAGCCACTAGTGCTTCCACTGCATCTGCCAGCAGATCCCTAGACCTGGACACATAGCTGACCAGTCTGTTTTTCTACCGGAGTCCAGGAGGTCCAGATCTGATCCCTAGAACCTGAGGTACCATGCGTGACAGGATTTGCTCAGAGATAGCCTGTCTTTACAGCTAAAACATCTTCCACTCTTCTGGGAAGGCTTCCACAAGACTTTGGAGGGTGTGTGTGGGAATTTGTGCCAATTGTGAGGTCAACTGCTAGATGAGAAGACATGGATCAAAATCATTGCTCCAATTCATCCCAAAGGTGTTGAGGTCAGGGCTCTGTGCAGGACACTTGAGTTCCTCCACCAAGCTGGTCACACCATGTCTGTATGGAGCTGGCTTTGTACACGGGGGACAGTCATGGGGGGAACAGAAAAGGGTCTTCACCAAACTGTGACCACAAGGCTGGAAGAGCACAATTGTCTACAATGTCTTTGTATGATGGAGGAGGAACAGAACCTTCACTGGAGACACCTGAACTCCATTATTTGGAGGGTGTCTATGGAAATTTATACCCATTTGTGAGGTCAGGTGCTGATGCTGGATGAGAAGACCTGACTCACAATCAATGATCCAGTTTCATCCCAAAGGTGTTCAGTAGGGTGGAGGTCAGTGCTCTGTGTAGGACACTCGAGTTCCTCCACCACACTGGTCACACCATGTCTTTATGAAGCTGGCTTTGTACACAGGGGACAGTCATGGTGGAACAGAAAAGGGTCTTCACCAAACTGTGACCACAAGGCTGGAAGAGGACAATTGTCTACAATGTCTCTGTATGAAACTTCATTGGAGACACCAGAACTCCATCATCTGGAGGGGTCCACAGACCTTTGACCATATATAGTGTCGGTGTGATGGTTAGGACTTCACATACTTTTAGTTATATAAACACAACTATGTGTACAAAGCCCAATGAGAGCGCCAAACTAAAGGCCTGAGAGTCCAAACACTTTGAATGCCGTGCTTCGTTCATAAAGAGACAACACAGAACAGCCAATGGGTTTTGGAGGCTCAAAGACCTCCCCCTCCTTCCGGGATTAAGGATGATGGAAAGATTTGGGGACTCACATGTGGTCCAATCACCAGAGGTTAACTGTATAAAAATTCAGATATGACCAGACTATCTATATGTGACAGCAGGGCCTTTATGGAGAGAAAGGGGAGCCCGTGCTTTATAAAGGGTTTCACACAAGATTCACACATTTTTCCCATGAGATTCAATTAGAAAAATGGGTAAATCTTGTGGAGAAAGATGCCAGACTCCACTGATGCAATTTGACTCGGTCACTATCTGATGCTCTACAATCTCTTTGGAAAACAGGTGAATGTGGGACTCAGACCAGCTTCTGAATCAGGGAGGTAAAAAGCAGTGCAAACCCCGCCCCCCCACCCCATCCCCTCCTCCTTACCAAGGAATGA